TTTTACAGTCAAAAAAAAAAGCCTCACCTTTAGTCCTCTTCTCTGCCGCATGTATCTGTGCCAATGCGATGGAAAAGAGCGCTCTTTCCAGTATGGAACAGTAACGAGTAATGGATGCTTCGCATTCCAACAAACTTTTCAACGCTGTTTGATGGTCTCCGCTCATAAGCTGAATTATCTGCGTCTACTCAAAACTTCGTAAAAAGATGAAGGGACGCACCTGAACGACAGCAATCCTTCTCTGAGCCATAGCGGCTACGTTCCGTTGTTCGATACTATTCGCTTCTTCACAAACGCCTTGCAGCATCTCTGTGGCGGCGCTCCATCGACATTCTGCGCTGAGAATCATTGCCAGTTGTAAACGAAGCCTGAACAATTATAGACACCCACAAATACACATCCTAAAGGTATAAAGATACCTCAGATGCGTGAACATAGTTGCAGGCGTTTCATATCTTGAATATGAGTTTTCAAGAAGATTTCGTGCTGAAGTCAGCTCTCCACGGACGGCCGTGAATAGACTTTTTCTAAAAGTTTTGAATAAGTCTTCGTGTAGAAACACGTAAATCATTGATCTCACCGAAGCACGGCTTCCGCTTCGTCAAGAACTTCAATGTTTTCAAGCAGAGGTGTACATTTATCCCATTCACCGCGCAGTATACAAATATCGAAGCTCACTATGTTATCGCAGAGCTGCACATGACGAGCTGTCTGGAATTCATCTGCAATAAGGCTTTGAAAATGCAGGGCAGCGTTTAGACAAAATCGTTTCCCCGTTATTCTGTATTCTACAAGCAAGCCTTGGGATTGAAGCAGTTGGTCCGGTACTCTAATGCGGTCCCTGAAAGGAGAATGGATCTGCCATGGGAAATCAAGGTGTGCCCATCCTTGAGGTTGCTCTCTAAATGCGTTCAAGAAGCAATTCCTAGATAAGAGGGCCCTGAGGGCTCCCCGTGCATTGCAGCTCCTCCAGTGACTATAACAGAGGACTGCACTAACGTAAATGCTTCACTTCTAAAAGCTGCTTGTAGGCTATCTAGGAAACGGGAAGCATGGATTTTGCCTGAATGCTACCTCTAACTCAGCAGTTGCTAAATAAATGAGATCGACATTACCTGCCAATTTAACTCAGGAGTAAAAATTGCCTTCAGTCGATTCAAAATGCGACTTGCCCTATCCCATTCACCGTCCATTGCGCATGCATAGACCATATTCACCCCAGCTATCACCTCAAACCACATCAAATATTTGATAAAAAAGGCAACAAAATCGCTTACATGCGCCTCAGTCTCATGTCTAGGTGCAGAACCATCAGCATAGTTGGTCTCGACAAGAGATGAAGCCATGGATAGTGCAGATTTTGTTAATCCATGCCTGAGTCGTACACTGCTCGCAGTCGCCCTGGCTGCATCGCTTATCAAACGGGCTCTACCGCCATCATCAGCACCCGATGAGCATCTCATCGCACGTTCCAGGCCATCTTCTACGCTATAACCAGGACATCAAAAGTGAATAAATTCCTAATAAAAGTGAAATAAATTTTTGTAATAAAAACACACATAGTGGGTGGTTTGCAGCGGCGAGTCGCTGTTATAGCCGCCATCAGGTGCACCAAGGCATTCATTTGATCGAATAGTTGTTCTGATTCTATCGCATTTACAGCGGGGTCACGATGGTCTTCTCCATCTAATCTATAGGAAGGAAGTAGAACCAGAAATCGAAAAAAAA